CCAATTAACTACCAGCCAGTAAATGCCAGCCGGAAAACATATAGTTTCCCGGCTAATATCCCGCTAGATATTGAATTATATCCGACAGATATTTATGCAAGATTCCTCACAGAGGCTAGTCTCGCAGATATTTCTCTTTCATCCAGTAGCAGGACCATGCTGAAATTATTTGAGTAGATCACCTAGAGACCGCGGTTTCGAGGTACTTCTCGACAGTGCAGGAAAAATGCTACTCAGACCGCAAAGTGCGTTTTTATGTTGGTACACTCGTCTCGAATATATGTTCACAGTTTAGGATGTTAAGCATGTTCAGTTTGTTGGTGAGACGCATAAAAGTTAGAAGTGTTCTGCTATCGACATAATTGGATCAAAGAATATGTATCATGATATAAAAAGTGGAATTTAGTACTCAAAAACACTCGAAATGTTGATAGTGGCATACGGTGATTGTACTCTGAGTCAGAAAAATGTTTACAAGTGGTACAAGCTTTTCACGGAAGGTCGACAAGATGACGCTTATCCTAGACGCCTCAGCACATCAACAACGGATGAAAATGTTGAGAAAGTGAAGAAAATTGTCATGGAGAATCGTTGAATCACTATTCGAGAGGTTGGTGAGGATGTCGGCAAATCGGTTGGCTCATGCTATGCAATTTTTTCGTAAGTTTTTGACATGAGGCATGTGGCAGCGAAATTAGTTGCAAATTGGCCGAGTTTTGATTAGAAAACCGTCGCATGAACATCGTTCAGGAATTGTTTAATAACGATCCAGATTTGCTTGAAAGGGTCACAATTGATGACGAATCATGGGTATAGTATATACGAATAGCATAAAAACTAAATAGTTACCGAACGTCGGCAGGTCCTTTGTATGGCATGGGTGGCGTGGTATAATTACGAGGCCTGATCATTATTTTTATGTGGGAGGTTTTAAATGGTGAATTTATCAGACACGGTACATAAGTCGTTTATTTAGCTGTTCGGGTTGAATTGGAAAAAACGCCGGCATAAGTGATTTATATCTGAGGGGTACTACTTCGATGGGGACAAAATAGAACAAACCAGCAAAAAGTGCATATCAGGACAGCTTCGAGGGTTAGAAAAAACGCCAACACAAGTGAATTATATCTGAGGGTACTACTTCGATGGGGGCAAAATAGAACAATCTAGCAAAAAGTAGGACAGCTTCGAGGATTGGAAAAAACGCTGGCATAAGTGATTTATATCTGAGGGGTACTACTTCGATGGGGACAAAATAGAACAGACCAGCAAAAAGTGCATGTCAGGACAGCTTCAAGGGTTAGAAAAAACGCCAACACAAGTGAATTATATCTGAGGGTACTACTTTGATGGGGGCAAAATAGAACAAACTAACAAAAAGTAGGACAGCTTCGAGGATTGGAAAAAACGCCGGCATAAGTGGTTTATATCTGAGGAGTACTATTTCGATGAGGACAAAATAGAACAAACCAGTTTTCAAGCGTGATTAATTTCCAACTACTTCCACTCATATCATTCCTTTTTGACAAGGTAACTATTTCAATAAGTGGTAGTAGATTTGTATATACATTAAATCGAAAACAACTCACCATCCCTCGTTTCCTAGTCTAGCCCAATTATCATAATCTCGCCAGTTTCCTCTGGTGTATATCATGTAGTTCAGTACGCTGGAACCTCCAACGACCTTACCTCTGGGCCAGTTGCACTGATGGTTATCCAAGCCCATGCAGAAGCTACCACTCGGTTCTGTTTTGTATCGCCAGTTCGACTCAGTGAATTGAAGATAATTGGCTAATATTGGAAAATCCATCAATAAATTTTCGGGACGACCTGTAACGTTATTCTCATTGAATTGAATTTACAGAAATGTGTGCATCCCTATATTTTGAGATGATTTCTTTTCCTCGAACCCCTCTGTCACTGTACTCTACATTTACTGAAGGGGATAATAATGATATTAATAATAATGATATGAATTGATTCATCATGTACTGCCCTGTTTGCAACCTTTGGTGTGGTCATGAATATTATTAAAAAGTTATTAAATTAAAGTTATTTTTAACACATTCACTTGGTGATTGAAACACGTGTTTCTTCAAGAGGAAGATTGAACTTTTTCTTGAAGATGATCACTTGGTGATTGAAACACGTACTTGTGATGCACTGTTTGGCACCTTTAGTGTAGTAATGAATATTACTGGAGTTTTTTTCCAACACCAAACCATTATTTGGTAATCGAAACACGTGTCGAGGTGTTGAAATAACGGTTTGGTGTTGGGAAAAAACTCCAGTAATATATATTGATTGTCATATTTACAAAAACATTCAGTTGAAGAATAATAGACAATTCATATAAATGATGATTCGATGTTCTTTAAAAGCGTGTTTTTTAGTTTTTTAAACTATATTTATTTTTCATTTTTTAGTTTCATATGCTATAAAAGCGTATTTTTCAGTCTTATTAAACTAAACTTTGGGATCAATCAGCCGTATATTGTTTAGAAAAATGACCAGCTACCAAGCCGAAGGAAGACAGCAGGCGCGCGGGTTAATGAAAAAAAATACTTTTTTCAAATGGAGACATACATGTAAAGTGAGTTTGAATTATATCAAGGATGTTACGTACAGCGCCATCTTCCCGCGAATAGATTAAGCAATAATGTCGATAATTCTGTCAAATACAGATCCCGAACTTGAGGATTACAAGCAAACAAACAAACATATGTGTGTCTGTTTTCTGTTTTTTCGTTAACCAGCTGTCGCACCCCTACGAACGACAACCGTCAGAAGTCGAAACTTGTGCGAGCTAAGGATTAACGAGATCTTACCTTTTAACGTGTGATTCCTAACACATACGTACATACATACATACAGGTGTAGCTAATATAGAACGTGTAAAAAAATTAGGTATTTACCTGCTTCTATAAGTAGAACCGACCAGTTCGGGTTTTCGGAAAGTCTATTGGCCAATACACATCCAGCTGTGCCCGCCCCTACTATCACGAAATCGTATTCTTTTTGCATTTTGTAAATTGGTACGTCTGCCGGTTCATCAGTCCATTGATTTTCCCCGTCTTGCAGTAATGATATGACTCCTTCTAGGAGCGACTCTTGTAAGCTCGTCGATACTATTGCCAAAAGTATAAAGACGTAGGCTAATTTTAGGCTCATTCTTGATGTTTACTGCAACAACAAATATCTCGTTACAATTATTATAGTAGAAGAATCTTCAACAGTTCGATAAATATGTTACATGAAATTCAACTGAGTTTCGTCCCCAACAATGGCGTCCACGTGCTTTCTTTGTGAACGATCGCTGTCAGCACGTTCGTCCACTACCACGTCAGAAAGGAAACTCTAATGATCATTTGAAATAAAACGTAACTGTTAGGTAGAATAAAATATCAGTGATAGTGATTAGATGTCACATAAGTGATCGCTTTGTTGGTGTTGGCACACACGTCAGATAAAAATGACATTTCATAACCGCTGGTTTATACTGTCCATATATTTACTGTTCATATATTTCGTAAACAAATATATTACAATTATTTACCCTTTACCCTCCTTGTCAGCAAAAGCAGCCAAAGCTATTACCCTCTCATGCTTATGTAAACATTGTTATATGCATTTTTCATTTTTCAAACATAGATAACATGTCTGGGTTGCCATATCTAAAGACAAAAGAGGTCCATTATCAGCAGTAGGGGTCTATCGCATACCGTGCACTTGTGGAGAGGTATATATCGGGACCATCAAACGATCCATGGGAACAAGACTGAAAGAGCATAAAGGGAACTGCAGACTAGGCCAAACGGACAAGTCAGCTGTGGCAGAAGACGCACTTAGTGAAGGAGACCACATAATTTTGTTTGAAAACACAGAACTAATTGCTCCCAACCAGGGATAACATAGCCGACTGGTACGGGAGGCAATAGAGATCCACAAACACACGGAGAATTTCAACCGAAAAGAAGAAACGGTGCACCTCAATCAAATATGGAACCCCATTTTAACCCTTCAGTAGACGCAGCTGGTCTAGTGGACCGGGCAGGATTATAATCAGTATTTCGGAAACGTTATTGGGCGGAACTCTCCGGCCGAGTACCTTCCATTTATGGGATGATAGATCAGTCTGTATTCTTTTGTTGACGGTGCTAGAATAGTAAGTGAGTAATTGGACAAACTGGTGCGGTGGACCGTGTTCGATTACTGTAGTCAAAATTATGGATTATGAAGGAGAGCAGGAAAGGCTGTTGCGTCTTTTTGAGGAAGTCCAACCAGAAGATGGATTCGATGACGAACATAAATCAGAAGAGGAAGATAACATTGAAGAAAGGTCAGAGGGAAGCGAAACAGAGGAAGAAGTTGAGGAATTAGAAGTTAGGGTAGAATTATCTTTCATTTGTGGACCGTACTTTATTGGAAAAGACCACAAAACAAAATGGGCCAAACATAGAGTACCTAAAAATGTTAGAACTCGAAGAGAAAATATTGTTTTGCAACTTCCAGGATCAAAACCATGTGTTAGAAATATAACCAATATCCAAGGTATTTGGAATAATTTATTCGATTCGAACATGTTACAAATGATCGTTGATAACACGAACACTAAAATTGAGGCAGAGAGGCACAAGTTTAGCCGTGAACGAGATATATATCCAACAAACATTAACGAAATTCGTGCATTGATAGGCCTGTTATATCTTGCAGGTGTGAGAAAACCAAGCCATTTGAACACCCTTGATTTATGGAAAACAGATGGCACTGGTATAGATGTGTTTCGTTTGACGATAAACATTACCAGGTTCAGATATTTATTGAGATATATAAGGTTTGACGACATCACTACTAGGGACGATCGACGTATTCTAGATAAATTAGCTCCAGTGAGATGTCTGATAACAAAGTGGAATGATAATCAGAAAAAATGCTTTTCCCATTCGCAATATGTAACGGTGGATGACAAACTAGAAGCATTCAGATGTTGATGCTCCTTCCGTCAGTACATTCCCAGCAAACGTAACAAATATGGAATAAAAAAATTTGCCTTATCCGATGCAAAATTATTCTATACCAGCAATATGGAAGCATACGTCGGAAAAAATCAAGTAGAAGGCCCCTATTATCAAGATACTAGTACCAAAGCTGTGACTGAACGAGCCTGCCAACATATTTATGGTTCTAATAGAAATGTAACCACTGACAATTGGTTTACTAGCACTGCGCTTGGTTTGACTATGCAACAGAATGGTTTGACCCTTCTGGGAACGATAAAAGGCAGAAGAAAAGAAATAACAATTTTTTTCTCACAAAATTCAGGACGACCTATAGGTTCTAGTACATTTGGGTTTGGTTGCAGAGGAACTTTGGTATCGTATATTCCAAAAAAAAACGAAAATGTTTTACTGTATTCGACTATGCATTATGAAGACAATGTTGATGCAGAAACTGGAAAACCGGAAATGATTTTAAAGTATAATAGTACAAAAAGTGGGGTCGATGTTGTAGATCAGTTATGTGCACAGGAAAATGTGGCACGTTGTAGTAGAAGATGGCCAATGGTTATTTTTTATAGTATACTGAATTCTTTCGTAATATATAACAGTAATCTGACAAACTCTACAAAAACAAGAAGACAATTTCAATTTAATAAATATATATTATTCAACTGGTCTTGTGGACCGTGTGCGACTATTGCTGTGTAAAATGTTACTGCGTCTACCGAAGGGTTAAGGAATTCGAGAATAATGATCAGGACAACAAGCAAAGAGATTGTTAATATTCCAAGTTCAAGTGCAGGAACGAGTACAGGTACAAATGCAGGTACAAATACAGGTACAAATACAACTGATTACCTGAAAGACATAAATACGCTTTTCGAAGCCTAAAAGTTAGTCATCGGACAGCAAGCCATGATGGTTAAATCTTTGAAGAAGCTAGCCACTCGCGCCAGCGAAACGTCAGGAAGAAATTCCAAAAATCCACGGCTTTCAAACTCGAAAAGAAATAACACTGGATTGCTACACAATTTAGTACTCGTGTATGAAAGAGGCCAAATTTAACTAACATCATATGCTTCTATGTTGTGTATCAATCCTGTTAATTATATATCTGATTCAGTTCCATAACGAATGTGTCTGTTTAAAAAAACTGTTTTTCCGTTAATCAGCTGTCGCCCCCATACGAACAACAACTCTCAGAAGTTGAGAAACTTGTGCGAGCTAAAGACTAACGAGGTCTTACCTTTTAACGTGTGATTCCTAACACGGTTGCAGAATCATCCCAGCTTCGACCAGACAAATTCTATCGAGAAAAATACCTGGTCAAGGCAGGAATCGAACCCACGACCTTCCGATCCTGAGGCGGGCGCACTACCACCGCGGCCAAATCCATAACAATGTTTGGATGAATGTTTGGAGTAGAAACGGAAAAGGAGTGTTTTTCGTATAATTCAATATTCATATAAAAGTATTCGTTACGAAAGTATTTTTCTTTCGTCTTTATATGAAAGTAGTTGTTTTGAGTGTTTTTTTTTAGTTTGTGTCTGAAAGTTGACTTAAATGCATGAACTCTACATCTTTCTATGGGGTTCATTTTGGAATTGGTTGCTCTCTTTATGTCTTTGAGAAATTCTCACATTTTTTTAAGATGGAGGTTCAGCCAAAACCTCCTTTCCAAAACTTAATCCCTCCTAAAAATATACCTCTTTCAATTCAATGACACTCTAATCTCCAGCATTCCACCACACTCCAGTATGTTTCGGGATATTCTAGAATATTGATAAATGCTTTCGAATGCTCTCGAATAGTTCAAACTGTTGTGGAACGTTCTAATTCCCGTTTTACTTCAAGTAAAACAGGAACCTTCTTCATGAATAAGTTGAAAAATATGTTCTCTCTCTACGAATTCGGATCGCTTATCACTAGTATGAAACAAAGTCTCTTCAGGTTAGATTATGTTGTGTTAGGTTTTGTTAGATTATGTTAGGTTTTGTTAAATTAGGTTAGGTTATGTTAGGTTAGGTTAGTACAGTTAGGTTGGGTTAGGTTAGGTTGATAGCACCCAGCATTTCGATTTGAGTATTGCATGGGACTATTTATGAGGCGTACAATATGATAGCGATAACCGCTTTCTGGGCAATTCTTCATTTTCGAGAGATACTCTTGGTGAAATATCGAATATTTACGATTCAAGATCCGAATCGTATTGAAAACGATTCCTGAGAGTCATTCCAATTAGTCGAAAAAAGTGTTTTTCGGGATTCCAAAATTGTTCACTCCTCAGTTGGGTTGGTGTGGGTTTTGGAGTAGACGCGGGTGGGGTGACTTGCATTGGGCCAATTTGGGGTGGACTTGTAGGTTGGATTAAATTAAAAAAAAAATTTATTGGAAAACATATGTGGGTTAGTCTTCAAAAATTCAATTATTTAGGATTTCGAAGATAAATCCTTATCCAATCTAGTAATAGATGAAATAATATTGTTTTCGTTTTCAGGTAAGTTTTGAAATCTTGTTTTCCACTTCATGATTTGGATATGGATGCTGATTCAATCATCCGTTTTACCAGTGAGTATTTGTTTTTTATTTGTATCATACCTATTGACTTAGTAAATTTGATGTGAGGAAATATAAATTGGAAAGGGTATAAATAACAGTTTGATTGAAAAGTTCGTAAGCTAACATAGATTTTTTTAATAAAATGTGATTTCATTATTCAATTAATTTTCTTTCATAGGCGACAGACACAACGATTATAGCGGTCATACAATTTTTCGCTAGGTACCATTTTGATAGTACGATTTATCTTCAGTTACAACATAGGCCTCAATTTCGACGATTACCTCTGGATAATATGGTGGATCTGGGATTATACACTATACGGGGCTTTTCATGATGAGCGTTAATTAGCCGTTTCTGACAAAATATCTAACGGATCAACCTGAAAATTTCACAGTATGCATAAATCAATATGACCTACACGCCTAAAATATTTCAGACGAAGCGGCGTTGTCGCTTCTACTATAAAGTAGCGGCTTCTTTAATTTTTCAAATGGAACACCCCGTATATAATATCATATTATGATTCATTATCACTTTGTCAACAAATTCATATACTATTTCCCTATACCTATCTATTACCGTTTATATGGTACCAAATGGATGGTGCTCCACCCCATAATTCCCATTCAGTCA